CTGACATCCTCGACTTCAGCCGTGGTGTGACCGACCTTGACGCCGTGGGCAAGGAGGCGAGCGCCTATGCTGACACCAAGGTGCGTGGGTCCCTGCCCTTCGTGCTCAGGGCACAGTGCGGCCCTGGCTCCACAGCTCTGATGTGCGTCCCGGGGGCCTGGGGATCAGGAGGGATTGTGCAGCATTCCCCAGCTCTTGGATCAAAGCCATCTGCCACCACAGGGCTGCCCTTTGGCTCGGAGCCCAGGGCGCTCCCGGAGAGAGCCGTGCCGAGGCTCAGCTATGTGCAGCCACACGGAAAGTGTCTGGGGCAGAGCTGATAGGGATTTTTTTCCACAAAAAAAGAAAAAAAAAAAAGACTTTTTTGATACAGTGGAAATTCCCATGGGAAGCATCAGCCTTTTTGGGAATTTTCTACAAAATTATTTGGGCTTTTGTCAAAACTGAAAAAATACTGTCTTCAAAGTTTTTCAGCACCCCCAGCAAAGTGTGCCTTTGCTTTGAATGCAGCAGCTTCTTTCCTGGGTATTTTGGGGGGCTGCTCTGTGCCACAGCCCCTGTGTGCCTGGCGGCTCTTCATGGTGAGGGGCATGAGTTCACACTTTTAACGCCGGTGTTTTGCAGGGCTGCCTCCACCCTGAAGATATCCTGACAGCATCACCCAAGATGCTGCTGCCCTCATCTGCCCAGCTGCCTGACCTGGGAACACCCCTCTCTGCCCACCACCAAATGCAGCTTCTCCAGCAGCTCCTGCAGCAGCAGCAGCAGCAGACGCAAGTGGCCGTGGCACAGGTTCTCCTCTCCGCTCTTTCCTGGGGGCAGTGGCAGGGCTGGGGGGTGCTACTGAGCCCCTTGGTGCCGGAGCATCCCCTGCCTGGAGAGGGGCAGGCGTGGGTGGGGACCATACCTGAGCTGGGGTGGACCCCGACACCAGGGCGTGGGAGCGGGCCAGGCAGTGTCCCCTATCTTCTGCGGCACAGCCTGCTCTGTCACACCTTCCCGGCACGGCTCGCTGTGCCCTTGCTCCCAGTGATGGCTCCGTTAAGCCCAGATGGATTAGCATTAGGTCTGCATGCTACCAGCTTTCTTGGTCCCTTGGCCCCTGTGTTATTGCAAATGCCTGGCCTCAGTGTTAGCCCCTGCCGACTCATTCTGCATGCAGGTATTTCTCGTTTAAGCAGCTCTGGCCACTTTACCCAACTCATTACCTTAGCTTTACTTGTTCCCTGACCATTCCCAGAGCTCTCTGCAATTGCTTGACTTTCTTCCTGGCCTGAGCGATTGGCTCCAGCAGCCTTTCTGTACTTTCCCATGGCTTTCCTCTTCATGCATCAGAAAATCAGTATTGGTCCTTCTGGCTGTGCTGTTGCCCCAAGAGCCTGCATGCCTTCTTCACGGGCTCGGCAAGTTGCTTTCCCCGCTAGAAGAGGGACCTGCGTCCTCAGGGGATCCTTTATATCTGCTCAAGTATAGTGTTGCTACAGGCAAAGTTTGCCAGGCAAAGCCGGGTCCCTCTGTGGTAGGGACCGATCACCTTCAGTAGTTCCCAGTCTTTGTGTACCTGCAGAGCCTTGCAGTGGTGATTTCTTTTTCTTCCTACTTCCAGATAAAAAAAAATCTGAAATCGTGTAACACCATTTCTTGGCTGTCTCAGGGCATGGCAGCCAGTGGCTTCATCCCCCTCTCTCCAATGGTTGACACCCGACCCTGGACCTCTGCCCACCCCAGAATGGTTCTTGTCCCAGGAGCTGTCACTTAGCTGCTCTGTAATCCCTTCAGCATGCGCCATGGTGATTTTGTATCATTGTACTTTATTAATGAAAAAGGTGGGCCCTATCATGTCAAAGGCCTTTCAGATGACTGAATCTGAACATCAACACCTCTGTCAATGGCACTTGTTATCTTCTCTCAAAAAGTACCGAGTCTGTTTGTCTCTGAACACGTGGTGATGGGCACAAGCTTAATTCTTTACTAACAAAGCCGGGAGATCCACTGTGTTGACCAGGATCTGTGCTTGGTCTATTGCTACGGGGACCACCCTGTAATTATCTCGGCCTCTAATTACCTAGCTGAGGATGAAATGCCATTTAATTCCCTTGTTGACCAGAGACTTGCTTTTGCGAGGCGTTTCCAGATACCTGTGAAAGTTCCTTCTCTTGAGCTAAGTCCAGGAGTCCTTCCTGGGTGTTGTCCCCAGGGGACTGGTGGCACAAGCCACTGCCCCTCTGCAAGACGTGACCTTTGGGCTCTGCTCGCATCTTCTCCCGGCGTCACCTGGGCCCTGCTGCAGGCGCCTGTGATGGAGACAGCTATCCAGCTGTGAGGAAGGATGACGCTGCCAGCACTGAGCTTTGGCACCTGCTTAGCATTTAATTGCAATTCCACTTCTGCTAGCTCGGCTCAGGGTCTCTGCTTCACCCACCATTCTTAAGCAGAGGGCCCCATCCCACCGTGCTGCTGTGCCCCACTGTCCCACGGCTGGCAGGAGGAGGAGGAGGAGGTGACTCTGGCTCTCTGGCTCCCTGCAGCAGTGGCAAAGCAAGTCCCAGCCCCTTGCCTGGCCTTCTGCCATCCCCTGAGCTTGCTGTGCTTCAACTCTGCCCCGCCAAGGGCACTGCCCCGCCACCTTGCTGGCTGCAGTCAGGCAGCACAAGACAAAGCAGGCAGCACCTGCCTGGCAGCAGACCCAGTGCTGCCTCCTGGTACCCATCCAGGAGGGCAGGTGGCCCCCAGCTGTGCTGCTTTTGGGGCCCTGCAGCAGCAGCTCATGGGTTTGCATGCTACAGAGAGCTCCCCCTCCCTCTTTCCCAAGGTCATTTTCTAGGCCAAGGTAAAACTGCCTTTTTTGTTGTTGCTTTTTGGGGTTTTTTTTGTGTGGTGGGTTTTTTTTGTTTGGTTTTGGTTGTTTTTTTTTGGTTTTGGGGTTGGTTTTTTTTTTCCATTAAATCCATGCTTTCCTGGTTCCCCACGAGCCTGGTTGGCTCAGTCCTTGCTGGAGAGAGGAGCGCTTGTAAGAGCCATGAGTGGGTGACGGGAGGGGATGCTGAGCCGGTGTGGCTCCCAGGTGGCTCTGCACTGCTGTCTCCTTGTCTGGAGTATGCTCTTGGGGCTCTCCTTGCTCGAGCTCAGAGCAGAGAGCTGCCCCTCGGCAAGGGCTCCTGGCTGGTCTCACCCAGCAGTGTCCCACCCTCCCTGGGACATGGTGCTGGTGATATAGATGCTTGCATATGGGTAGTTATGACAAAATCAATGGACATCTTGCCCGTGGACTCCCACTGGCTAACGTCCAGGCATTGCTTCGCAGGGCCAGAATGAGCAGCCAGCTTGCGTCCCCAGAGCCACCATGTCTCAGCAGCGCTCTGCCATCTGTGTTGCTCCAGGCGTGTTGTGCCTGTTGCAGCCGGAGCAGCCTGCAGCTCCAGGGCAGCTCTGATGCTCTAGCCCCTGCTAGCGACACATGCCGCTGGCAGGACCCTGCCTTGTGCAAAACAGTGTCTCTGGGAAACCTGCCCAGAAAGACAGCTCGGCCAGGGCCAGCTCGCGGCGCATGGCTGCACCCTTGTGCACCCGCAGCACCATCCAGTCAGTTGAGCGTGTCTTCTCTTCCGCATCCGTCTGGCTTCCTCCTGGTCTGCCCTTTCCTCATGCATTCGCAGCACATGTGCATGACTGATGGTTTGGCCAGCACCACCTCCCTTTGCCTCAGGCTTTTCCATCAGAGAGACCAGGGGACCATGCGCTGGATTTGCTGAGCGTGCCACCTGCCCCCACTCTCCTCATCATGTCTGCGGGTACCCACAGGGAATGGCTTCTTCATCAAATCATTTGGTGAGATGCTGGTGAGCCCTGGTAGAGGAGCAGGGATAGCTGAAGTCGAAGCTCTCAGCCCTTGAGCAGCACCTCCCACACGCTCACCCACTCTCTCCTGTCACACAGGTCCACCTGCTGAAGGACCAGCTGGCCGCAGAGGCGGCAGCGCGGCTGGAGGCCCAGGCTCGCGTGCACCAGCTCCTGCTCCAGAACAAGGACTTGCTGCAGCACATCTCGCTCCTGGTCAAACAGGTGCAGGAGCTGGAGCTGAAGCTGGCAGGGAACACCACCAGTAAGCGCTCCTGCCCCTTCCTCTCCCCTCGCAGCTAGCCCGGTCTGTGGAGGACATGCGTGTGGGTGTTTCTCGTGGGATTTTTGTGCATTTCCAATGGTTTTGTGTAGGGGAATATTAGTGCCCTTCTGGCCTGGCTTGTGTGTGTGCGGCAGGGTGCTTGCATGCAGCGTGGGAGGGGGCATGGGGAGGGTTGTATGGACAGGCAGTCACGTATGTCCATCAGCTGTATGTCCGCTTTCCCCAGTGGCTGCATGGTCTAGACCAGCTCCTTGCCTGCCCAAGAGCCCCTCCTTGACCTTCCTCTCCAGCAGACGTGGCCATCAGCTCCCCAAAGGAGCTGGGGTGGGAGACAGATAACTTTTTATGCTGCAAAACTGGCACTTTGCTAGCCAGCAGCAGCTCCTAGCACCAGTGGCACCAAATGACCCCCTCTAAACAGTGGTGATGGGGAAGTTGACACCCAAATGGCCCCAGACCGTCCTCCTCTGGCCAGTTTGCAGCCAGCCGTGGTGGCTGGGGGATGCCCAGGCAAGCCGGGG